TCGGTCCGAGGTTCGAATCCCGCGAACGGGCTGGCTGCATGGGCGTTTTCGTGGTTTTCCCCATGTGTAACGCGTATACGAGCCAGTTTCCCTTAGAAAGTCCTCCACGAAGGCATCCCTCTCTTAAGGCAGATAGCCCTCGAGTGCTTTGCCGTAATCTAATAAAACCAAACCAAACCTACTCCTCTTTATATCATATTTGCTATATTATTATTTAATTATATTTTTTGCAGAAATAAGCAATTTCGCGATTTGAAGATATCCAGGTATCCACAGATTAAAAAATAAAGATTTTGTGCATGTTCTTAGCTGCAAAATCATTCAAGTTGCGCGAATTCCGATAATTGTTTATATATTTTTTCCTGTCAGAGCAGTACCAAACGTAACCATTCTCTTCCAGCAGAAGAAATTGTAGATCTACCTACAGCCTGGTTTTGCATTTTACGCTCCTTTCTGTAAAAATGTTTAAATTCTCCCCCCCCCCTCTTTTCTAAAGGAAAAAAAAAACGTAGTTACTGCAAAGTGTCATTTATCCTGCTCTAAGTGCAATATTCAGTTCAACGACTGAAATCATTATTTTCATGTAGCTGGAAGATAAAGATGCGAATTTAAAAAATAAAATTAGACGTAAAATTCAAAAAAAATTACCGTAAAATTTGAATAAAACGTTACGAATTTCGACTTAGATTGGGCACAAGTCCTCGATCTTGAGGATGGATAAAAGTTCTGTTAAAGAAGAGGGATCTATGCCCGATCACCCTCGAAATTAATAATTTTATTCAAAACCTACGCCAGTCCAACTTGCCTTTTTGCAGACTTAATTATTTGCGTCTTTTAGATGCTATGAAAATCGCATTAAATGATTCTTTGGCATCTGCTAAATTTATTGAAATAAATTATACTATAATTTTTATTATACTTCAAAGTATTAAAAACATCATAGACTGGAAAGAATTGCTAATTTTATTTAGAGGATACTGCAAAAAAAATTTACACTTTAAATCTTTAATTTTTCATCATTGTCCTAGTATTTATATTTTTTCTTTATTTTCTTGCTTTTTTTAATGCATCGAAGTATAATTTCATTTCATATCTATTCATAAAAAATGGATTACAATTATTAATGGGCGTTTTCACAATACAAAATAATCCATAAAAGCTCTGTTTCTGAAATTAAAATTAAATCAATAAATATTGATTTAATTGAAATTAAATCAATAAATATGTGAATTAGTTACATTTTCAGCTCTCTTCTACCTTTTCGTATAATTGTTGTTTTTCATTCTTATGCTATTTCTCATAATTTAAATATGTGGCATACCAGTCCGAATTTCACAAATAAGAGCAATATGTGAAAAGAAAATATGTCCGGACAAAGCTAGTTTCTCTTGGTTAACAGAAAACGATCATACAATGCAATTTCCAATTTTAAACAACAATGAGAAAACTGCCAAAAATATTTTAAAATTTTATTACATATACAAGTATGTATCTTGTGTGTATCTTGAATAAGTACATAAAGAAACCTAATATGAGGTTGAAAATTAAAAACAAAATTTTTATACCTGTCCTGCACTATAGCTGCAGGATTGAAATACAATAAACTTCAAGCATTAAATTAAAAATAAATTGGAGTCAAAGAAAGGCAATTATTTTAATTTTGATTTGCTTAGATATTGTGTTAAACCTCTTATACATGGTTGCAATTATTAATATTGTTTAGGAATTGCTTTGACTCCAATTTACTTTTAACTTTAATGCTGTAAGTTTATCTTGTATAATCATATATTGTCCTTCTAGGGCTGCCAAAATTTTGCGAAGTTTGGTGGGAAGGAGAACATTTGCCATGAAATTGGTTTTATTCGAGGGAGATATTATCCATACAATTGGTATATTTTCTGTTCATAGTCGTGCAGTGGATAACACCGTTATCAGATATAATTTTGGCTCTCTTTTTGGAAGCGCACTTTTTCTGCTGTCGAAAAGAGAGAATAACAGTCTCTTCTGTTATTAAACTATAACAAATAATACGTGATGTATTTTTCTTGTGCTTCTACTCCAGGCGTATTACTTGCAAAAGCTCTTTTGAGTTTACAAATTTCTTTCCCTAAAAACTCTTATTTCCCTTCTAGAATTCTAAAACTCACTACAGAAATGCTTTTCTAGTCCATTATCTTGACATTTTATTTAAAATGTCCTCCTTTTTATATTTATCGTTAGTTGCTGCTCTGAACGGTATAGTGATTAGAGAAGTTTGATAGCCAGTCTGACACCGGGAATGCGGAGACTACCCTGTAGTGGAAATATATTTTGTTGCTATTTATTTTAATTAACACTATATTTCTTATGTCAAATTTTTCCTACATTTCTACTTTCTGTTAACTCCACCAGAAATGCAAATAAGTGGATTTAAATAATGATCGAAAATCTGAATTAAGAAGAAAATTTTGGCAACTTCAACAAGAAGTGCTGCAACTCTAATATTTTACCTCTAATTGTGCTGTTTTAATTATTGGTGAGTGTTGGTTTAAAGTTTATAGTTACGTTAGAAGGCACTTTAGAATATGAGGCATATTCTTAGTCTCTAACGGGATATTTGTTTTGTAAATAAATAACTGAAATACTGCTGCATTATGAATTCGAAAGAAGCGGATGTCAAATTGCTGATAGCATTGCTGAACACACTGATTGATAAATTGTTGAACGATTTTAGTTTTGTAACTTTAAGCAGAAGTAAAAGTTGGTTTTACATTTGTTATTGCCTTTTCACGTTATTCAACCCTAAGTTAAGAACAGAAGAACTTCGACTTGGCAGTCGAGGAAAGGAAACCTAAAATTTAGATTAAGCGCAATTAATGCTTAACCCTTTATTTGTAGAATTGCACAGAAGCAACACATGGTTTCACCATTTGCTAGTAAAAGAATTTTTCAAAATCATTCATTATGCTGAAACCCATTTCAGAAAATTCGATAACCCTGCACACCTTTAAAGCATCAAATTTTATTATAATTGTTTTCTGTTACCAAAGGAAAAATTAAAATAGGTTTTTAAGAGGTAAAAGGAACAAGTATAATTTTTATATGAACCTGTAGAAATCCTTCTCTTGTTTTCCATTTGATTTTTATCAGAGAAAATTATAATGAATAAACATTAGCTTCTTCCCCGTCAAGCACTGATTCTTTATTCTACCTTTCATTGCATTTGAAAATTTGGCGCTGAATATTTTATAAAAGGAAAAGATTGCTTATCTGCGTTAAACTTCTTTCCTAATGTTACGCAAGAGTGGTTTAAGGAAAAATAGTTTGAAAAGTTTAATTCGTTTTTATTTCATCTATATCTTTCTGAGACTTGACATAACTTGGTTCTGAGAAGGTCTTTGTCATTGTCAGTCAACATTGTTCATGTTAGATAAAGAAGGAAAAAGCACCACTTAAGCTTTTTTTTTTTTTTTTTTTTTTTTTTGGTATGCTGACATCACTTCAGGGAGAAATCGGTATACATCTTAAAGGAATGGTTTGTGTCAGACAAAACTTTAACAAACACATTGGCCAGTAGGTTTCGAGTAAATGATTTTATTTTTGAGATCTTGTATTAATCTATATAGTTTCTAGCATAACTCAATTTAACTCAGAGGGACACATGTTCCCATTGAAATTAAATGCAAGCAAGGAACATAATGCAAAATATTGTCATCAACAGATATTCCAAAAGTCTGCAAAGCTTTCATCACTAGTGCGAAACCAATATCCCCCCCCCTTTCCGTCAGAACAGTTTGAATCAACCAAGACTCTGAATTTAGGTGTTTGCAACTAGCTGGAACGACGAGAATCAGTCACAGGCTATTATGCGAAATAACCATAAAAACAAGATTAACATCTTCTTCTTTCTTCTATCTAATCTGGCGATGACTCTAGGATGATTGAAAAGATCTCACTAATTAATAAAATACATGAGCGTCTTAGCAAAGGGCTCTAACTGTTTATCAAACGTGCTTCTGTCAGATGACAGAAATATATATAGATCAAATTTTAGATATCCAAGAGGGATCAGGAAGTTTGATAAGTTAATAGAATAATAAAAACTGGATATTTTTATTGCTCTATGGGCTATACTTTGAGACAGAGAAGTCTTTTATTTCAAGTTAAGTATCAATGCTTTGACTATCTGTAGAGAGCCAGGCTATAGGCTATATCTGCATGACCAAGGCAATACAGATTATTTTTTAAATAAATTCAACAATTACAGAATGATAGTTACTCTGGCTAAAGACCTGAAAATTTATTTTCTTGAACTTTATAACTTCTATAATTGAGATGTACATATATCTGAATTCTATCGCTACAGCTTTAAATGACAAATGCTCACCCTGTAAAATTCTCTAGACTCCTTTAAACTCTCAAGGTCCCCCTTGCAGATTATTTTCTAATGAGATTTTAATTTTGCCAACCGAAAACTTTAATGAAGTAATATCACTGCGTAAGAAAATATTATGTTATTTAACAAAAATTATTAAATATTATTGATCAATGCTACAAAATAATAGTAAATAATTATGATAAAAATTTTAATTTTTAAAAAACTAACAACACTTTAAACACTCACATTTTTTTAAGAAATTTCTCGGAATATCTTGCAATTTTATCTTTATTGTTTTTCCATCTTTTGAAAAAATTTCAGAAGGCTACACGCAAATTTTTTTCAAGAACAAATTAATATTATATTGATCTGCTGTCGTGGTGTCTCTAAAAAGCCTAAGCTGCTACATAGAACGATGCTTACTTCGCATGCTTGTTAATCGGCATTGCAAATGCATGCTTGGAATCTGACATCTACAGTAAATTTCTAAACAATTACTTATTATTAAAAGTAAAATAACAATGAATGCCTAGTTAAACAGATAATTCAAAGCAAGCACAAAAGCGCATATTCTTAACGTGGTTCAGTCTATTACAGTCACATGCTAGATGAAAATAACAGAATTAAAATATAGAGTACTTACCTCTTTCGACTCGAGCGTTATCTCTCCAGTCTCAGCATCTACTATACGAGGAGCCATTTCTCGCATCGCTGCATAAAAGGGTAAACACGCTAGAAGTTTCGTTAAGAAAAAATTTGAAGTAATTAACAGACACAGATAATACTTTAAAATATATTGTTGACATTTCCATTTCTTGAAATAAACAGAGAGCATCTACAAAATTTTAGGGTTGCATGTCTAAAAATAAATTATATGAAGAAATCAACTTTGCTATTACTTATTGCATTCTTCCTAACGCTGTATCTCTAGATATGTCCGTAGAACTGCCGGTTCGCTTTCATAGGAGCAAACTGCTGGAATGCTCTCACATTATCTTATTACATTTGACTAAATTTTGAAATGCTGAAATAGTGTTATTCTTTAATGTAATATTCCAAGTCAGGAAACAGAAATTAATTGTAGGTAGGTAAAAACGTGGGTTTCAGTCGCCCGGGGCACATGCCTAATTCGCCGCTCCCTTATATTAGCTTTTCCCTAATATTCACAGCTCCCTTATCTCTGCCCCCTAGTCTTATTCGCCGCCCTCCTAGCTGCAAACAACTAGTAATTAGTCTTCACTGCCCATCAATGATTGTATTTACACTACAAACTGGACTTTCCAAAATTACGGCTATGTAAATTATGTAATTATTAACGAATTTATGGATTTAAATTACTTAATTATGTAACTGATCCGTTATTTCTATCAAAAAATGGATGCGTAATTGTGAATAAAAGTCAGATTATAGTATTCACTATTCATATACACCATACGTTGATACACCACCCTAACCTAATCTAATTAGTATAGGTAAAAAAATGTCAGTTATTGCTCATACAATTGACCGTGTAGTATAAAACAAATACTTCTAACAGCAGGTAAACAGAAATAAAAACTGTAATACACACATGGCTGTACGTATACCAAGACATGTAGACAATATATTTATAGTTTACATACAATTTTTCGACAAAGCTCAATAATTTAACAATCACAAATCACTACACGCACTTAAAGAAAATCGTGAATTATAGCTGGTTAATTGAGTAAATGTGAACTGGACGACTGATGTTGCAGGTGTTATTAGACAATATTGAACTCTATTTTTTATATGAAAGAAGTAATTCTGGCTGAATATTCGTCGTGAGCAATCCAAGCACAAAATAAAAAGCTAGGAATTTACCGTAAGGCAACTGTTTAGTACAGACGGGGTTGCCAGTCGCTAGAGTGAGGTCGCTACACTCACTTAAAGAAAGGGCATTATTCCCCCGGGTCCATCACAGATTAAATAATAAAAAGTTCCGTGCTAATTTTAATCGGTCCGAATTGTAGGTGTGATAAAGATATGAAAATAAATGGTTCCAATTTTTAGTTCGGATTAAAAGATATTATTACTTATCGTGAAATTTTCCCGCCTACAAAAAGAGGAGGCCGGGGAGGACCACCTCTACCATCCCAGCCACGCTGTTCCACTGCCATAAGATATCCAATCTGAGTAAGGGGCTGATTAATAAGTTAGTTTGATTGAAAGCTTGATGGCAGTTGCACTCTGCAAAAGGGCAATAAAAATATTTGATCAAGACTTTCTAGTCTAATATCATTACTTATTTTCAGGAGCAAGGTCTGTTGTTTATTTGTAAACCATGGAATCTACAAGTACTGCTCCTTCTCCAAGTAAGAATTTCTCAAGGGGGAAAGAAAGAAAAAAAGTCATCAACACTGCCTGTCCTTGAAGCTACTAAAAGCGAAGTATTCTACTAGTTGAAGCGAATTTTCTCTTACCCATTTATTGTCCGAATTATTTCAGATTATTATCGCTCTCATTAAAAAGGGATCTAGAACTGATCTGCTTAAAATATACAGATTTACTGCAATGCCTTTCGTGAAATCCTTATAAATTTTCAATTTTTCAGCCTTTGAGCCTGCAAGAGCAAATATCGATTACCGAATAAGGAAAGAAAATAGCATTTAAACTCCTTACCTTACGGAGATGCTGTTTTAAGAAAAGAAGTTAAGATAATTGCAATCATTGCAGTTTGATATTGTTCGATGGATTTGCTGCAGCCCTCGCTTATACTTTACTTTGAAGTAACAAAGTGAATCAATTACTCAGACTAAAAAATTTCTCTCCTAAAATTTTGCAGATGCTCTGCGTATACTGAAGATTACAGAAGTTTTTACTTTCAGACATTTACATAGATTAAGCAAAACTACTTTATTATTCCAATTTGGTATAAAAGCAAAATTAATACTTTTATAGTTCACAATCTTACAAAACGTATTCTGTAAAAAGAATACATTTTTGTAAAACTGCCCATGCCCAGAACGCAGCCTGCCAAACTTGCAGGCTGCGTAACAGAAAGTGACGGAGTTTTTAAAATAATAGCATTGATTTTTTTTTCAATGGCTGTCACTAGCCCTTATAGGCGCTGGCCAATACAAACTGCGGTCAGTTTATTATGGAATCGCATAATAGGTGGACCATGGATTCCTCTAGTGAAGGGACAGACAATATACATCCATGCCTTCTCCGGGATTCGAGCTCGAGCCATTCAGTACTGTAGTCATAGTCATTAACCACTATCCCGTTTGGGAGGCATATAACAGCATTCTGCCATATTGAATATTGGTTCTTAAATTATTTTCCTCTTTAAAATTTGACCAGTGACTACATTTCATGTCTGATTTCATGTGTAAGACTAAATAATTTTTATTACATTACTAGCCTGTGTTGCCCACTTCTTAGACAATTACAATTTGTAAAAATATTTCTTTACTTGACCAAGAAAAAGAGGAACGGGTGTTCCCTAAAACGTTGGTAAATATTGTGAAGCGGACAAGCAAAACATGACACGAGTACATTTTTGTTGGACTTGTCATATTTACATTACAACAAGATAACGTTTCTTAGGATTTTGCTGTACTTCATCAGATCTTCTTCCAATTTTTTCAATTTTTCAAATGTCAGGCTTTCTAGAAGCATGCCTTTTTGGAAGGTGCCGTTTCCTGTGTTTCTTGCCAACTTTAGGCGAGAAGCAAGTGGCCAAATCTTGTCTGAAATGAGCAATGCATCATTTGAACGACTTCTGGCATAAGAGCTGTTCTTGTGACTGGCTTACAAACTCGAAACATGGACAGAATTCCTACTTTGTTTGAACAATTTATTGTTGTTCACGAAAGAACGCTTTATACGATGTAACACTGCATCCTAATTAGATTGGTTGATTATTATTTTAATTTATAGGATTGGGAAAACTGTTCTTTAACATCATGAGATTTCTAATCAGCTTGAGTTTACAGAATTCTGTGGGCTTATAAAAATATCTGTAATATTCCGTTAATTGATATTTAAATAAAGCGAAAGCAAATTAATTTCAGTGTTTAAAATTTGATCAGTTATTGGTGTGTAAGCGAGTTGTTTATTACTTGCTCAATTATGACAGAAAGCGATCAAATACTCAACAAAAGCATGCATGTAAAGTCTATTTATCATTTAGAATTTTGTTGTAATGTTTCTGTAGGGAATCAAAATTATATTCATAATAATTCGGTATTTTAAAATATTTTGAATTTCTATCGTATAAATACCCAAGTTTATATCTGCGGGTTAAATGTAACTCTCTTTTAAAACTTGTAGACTTTCGATATTTCGAAAATTACTAGGTTTGGGATTTAGTAAATGACTTTCTTTGCTTAAATACAGTAATCTTTTATCTCACGCCATAGAAAGAAATAAGTAAGAATATTACATAAAAGTTCTTCACGTAATACAAATTGAATTTATGCGATTTAAGTATTGTATTTAAAACCATGTGTTTGTTTTTACTTATCTCCCTAACACATGATTGTAATAACTGATCTGATTAATATAAATCTAGAATTTTAGTCTGATTTCATTAGCTGTATGGAAACCTTTTGAAGTAATTATAGCATCCGTTTTTGAAATCCTTAAGTTAAGACCAAATAAAAACAGAGAATTCACAGTCTGTAAGTGATGGAACTTGCCTTGAAGCACTGTTTAACCCTGGCTATGCATTCCAAGGTCTTAAAAGCATATGATTTCATATCTTTATTTCATTTTAAGAAGTACTATCTATTGTTCTATTCTGCACGCGACTATAATACGTTGAAACATAATTCAAGTCTTCATCTTTTCGGAAACATATTTCAAACAAACTTTCTGCGTATGATTTTTTTTTCATAGAGCAAATCTCTCATATTTGATCTATTCAAAAATCATAATTATTGCTAGGAAAGACCAGTTACTGTGGTCATATGGAAACATGGGGATAAGATGTAAATCAGAAACATACTATTTAATAAATAAATATTTTGAATTAAGGGCATGCAGAAATAGAAATTAAATTATTTCTCAAAAGCTGAAAATATAATACATATTTCAATTACCGCTGAAAAAGAATTTCAAGAAAAAGGTCTAACACTTACTCAGCTTTTTCTAATAACCGCAAGTTGAAAATCAATTTAATTCATTAATTAAGAATTCAGTTAGAAATTTTTTAAATAACTAAGTCCTTTTTAAAATAATACGTACTCAGATACATATTTTTTAATGTTGTAAATTTTACAGCTAATTTTAATTTGGAAGTCATGAAACAGCAAAAACAAATTATAAATTCGTGTTAAAATGCCTAAATTAAACACGATTTCTCTTCGATTTCGGCTATAAATAAACTCATACAAAAATCAAAATTTAAAAAACTAAGTTCACAAAACTCGCGGAAAAACTTTACATTTAATTCATTATTTTACAGCATTTTTTATCATTTGCTTTGAGTATATGGATTCTTGTCACGTAATGTTTCCCCATTATTTCCTTATAGCGTGCTTTTTTCAACCTTTGAATGAATAAATTTCCTCAACTATGGAAACTTATTCTTTTATTAAATAATTACTCTTTGTACAATAGACATTTGGTTAAGGATACACGTCCAATTGGTTATTACGACACACATGGCAAGAGTTGCATGTACAAACACATTCTTCGTTGATTTTTTCCTTTGAACATAAGTGAGGTAGGCTTGTATCAAAACGTATACAGTATATAGTGTGATCAGCAAGGCTGTGCAAGAGAAATGAGGAATCACCACTGATTTCATCTGAAATGACACAAAATGAATAGTACATTCTTAACAATATTATCTATCGCTTTCGATTATAAGCGACCGTCATGCATCACGAAGAAATTGCAATAGATATCGCTAGACTTTAAATAAGCACAAAAAACCATTATAGTGAATTATAGTAAACAATTACAGTAAAACAATTATAGTGAATACTTTAAAGTTAAATAAGAAATGCAAAAAACTTTTAAATTATTCTAAATAATGAAACTAATGGAGGTTATATAAATAAATAGAGAATTATATATATCAGGGACAATCAATGTCTGTATATAAATATATGAAATTTTTTTTTAATGTGAAGGAATGAACTGTAAACATAAAACAGCTGATTTACATAAGTATGTATCTCCAAACAAAAGTAGATATAGTCCCTATATTTGTTGATATTGGGCTACATCTCCTCAACAGACGTCTCTCCAAAAGTCTTCCTCGAGTTTACTGGCTTCTAACATTAGATCAGTTTGTAGAATTATAATTTTATTTTCTGGTACGTTTCTTTAAGATGCTGGGTAATATATGTGTCAGAAATTGTTGCAGCAATATATTTTATATTTAAATCTGTTTTAAAAGGAAAATGCACATACTGAACAATAAACCTTTTCAAAATCATGAAATCCGAGATCAAAATCTTCAGTCTGTATAAGGTATTTTCTTCCTCCTTACTGTCGGGCCTTCGTGGTGTGATTGGAAGTGCATCCGGCTAGCAGTCAGTGGGTCCGGAGTTCGAATCCTGATGACATTTTACACCATTTCTTCTTTGATATAAACCTGATAACTTTAAAAGTGGCATCCGAACTAAAAGGTGGCGGACGATATTTCGTCGCTAGGATTTGAGATTGGATTCTCTCCTTCCCAGTTGCAATATAAGTGAAGAACTATTAAGTGCTATTTAAGTGGGTTTTTCTTTCTCTTTACCGCGTGCCTTCGTGTGGAATTTGGAATTCCAGCTATGCACTGCACATTTTTCACGTCTCCCGCTTTAGAAAAAAAAAACTAATGATTCTACATCTGATAAAACTTTACTTCACTTTACTTACCTTATTGAGTCCTCTTATGCATGAAGTACTAAATAGTCTTTTTTAAGAGTAAAAACCGTTGCTTAAAAAATTATGTGTAAATAATGTTTTGAAAGAAATCTATGAAACTCTCAACAAAATCAAAAATTAGACATGATGTCCTCTCAAATGTTTAAGGCATACATACTATTTAAGCTATAAACGAACAGAAAACTAATTTTTAAATCAATATTGCCTAATTTTTATGTTTTGCACTGAACGTTAAGCTCTACTTTTATATTTTATAACGAAAAAAATATCAATTATAGTATATTTAAATAAAAAAGGGAACTGAGATTATATTACTTTGTTTTGCTGCTTTTTATCTTTCGTTTTCATTTTGTTCACTTCAATGGCCAAATTTTACACTTCTTCGTCACCATTAAAATACTTCATCATTTTTCAGTTTTTATATCTCGTTGAAATGATTAAAATTCATCCACTTTTTAATTTAGAAACTAAGCCTTGCTTTTAGGTGACGTAGTTTAAAGTTTCCATTTATGAACACAAGACTTGAAAACATGATTTTTGATGACCAGCCTATAAACATGTTTTATTTATTTTGACTTTAATTATTTTTTCCCTATCGGTACTTTACGTAAACAACACAATAAATTACAAAACAACCTTTATGCAACTGCTGACCATGCAAAAGGAAAAATTCTATTGTTCTCACCCAGTCATATCTCTCATGCGTTACATAACCCACAGGATAATGACTGGACAGCAGCATTGCAATAGCTGCAAGGCAGCCAACTCCCAACGCAATTATGTTCAAGATCCGAATCTTCCTTGGTTCGAGACGGTTCCGCTTCTGATCGACAGCAACAAAACGTAAGAAAAATGTCGGAATACCTGGAAATTAAAATTTGGTATTAGTTCTTACTTTATAATATTTTAAAATTACTTCGGAAACAATAAATTCATATAAATATTTTCATCACATCGTCATTTAAATATTTATATGTAAAAACGTAATGCATCACATGTTGGTATTCTAAACCAGATTTCGAGAGCATTGTAGCTAAGGGAAATATTATAAGGTCAAATATGGTGCGAATTGTTTATGTATACCTGTTAAGAAATTCAGTACCTTAAAAAAAGTCGTTTTATAGCGTAAGTGCAAATGAAACATTGTAAAAATAAAACATGCTGATGTATTCCGAATTAAAAAACGGATTTTGCATTTATAAAATATAAAGTATAAGACCTCAAAAAGATCTAAAAAATTACACAAGACCGCAGGCTTTCAATAATGGCTCACTTTTTAAATCAGATTAGCCACTCACCGACATAAAATAATTCAAGATTTACATACTTGCCAATGCATGCATTAATAAGTATCAAGAACATACAAGTAGCAAATACTGTTGGCAACAGCATACTGTGCCACGATTGCTACTCTCATTTTCATCAGAAATAATTTAAATAACTGGAAACTTAAAAGAAGTAAGCCCTAGTAGCTGTATTAATTGTATCTAATACCATAACTGTTCAAGAACAGTTCGGAGAAGGTAAATCGAGTGAATATGTTAATGAATCACAATACCTCTGAAGAATCGTCGACAATCAAATCTTCGTGTCCAGTGCTAATACGAGAGTTCTAATCGGAATTTAAGACACAAAGTCGAACGTGCCATTGATGACGATGATTTGTGCCGCTTCACAATCATCGTTCAAGCATGCATACACCATATGGTTGCCCATGTGAGAATTCAAATTTTTCATTTTGAAATCGGAAGGTCTCTTTATTGCCAGTGCCCCGACGTAAGTTTCTATTTATGGCTTGTAGTTGAGAATACAGATGTTGAACACCGGCTGAAGGCCGAGTTCTACAGTGGACGAAATTTAACGAATCGTTGAACAAGTGTTTCAAGATAGCTCTAAGAATGGAAAATTAAGTAATTTGAAGGCTACCATAGAATTGCAAAAGTTTAGGACTTCTTCAGCAGCAAGACAACAAGACAAAAGGAAGAGAAAAATTATCCTAGTAGAAAGTAACGCAATAATAATTTGGATTATTTATTTTCAAAGGATTAGATTATTTATTTCCGACAGATTAGATTATTTAATTATAACAGAATAGATTGGATTATTTAATTATAACAAATCACGCTAGGCTTTTGGTCTCTGACAGCAGATGCTTTCAAGCAGAATTTTCCAAGGAAAATGGCTCGTATATAAGTTACACAGAAAATCAAGGTAAAGTCATGCAGCTGACCAATTCAACTACCTGGAGCACTTAAGTCCTGAGATAAAATACCGGCGTTTCGGAGCTTTATCATTTCGATCACTGCTCAGTGTACATAATGTAATAATAAAATAGCAAAAATTATTAAAAATTGATAATGATAAATCATTGCACATAATACTGTAACAAAATGAGTAAATCTTCAAACGCCAGCTCCTAAAATTATCTCCCGATCCATTACTGGGTCACAATTCATATTTTAAGAGCCGTTGATTCAGATCTATAAAATACTTTCACCGTTTATGCACAATTATATGAGATTATCTTACATCTTAGACCAGTGTTTTTTTCTTTAAAAATAAAATCGTCTTCGCGATATGCAGTACGCAAGTTCTTGTGTACAGTACCTGCCTTGTTCTACCTGCGTTAAATGAACATGAAGGAAATTGACGAGGAATGAGAAGAGTGAGTGAGTGCACCGCTATGATGGCTTCCGACCACGGACATGAACCAAACGGAATTAATACCATCACGGCGGGTAAGACTCCAAAGTAACAAGGTTGAATATTACGTATTAATAACAGTTTTACAGTTTGATAACTGCAGGCACTAAGCGTTATTCTGGTTATCTGGTTTAAGTTCTGAACATTTGAAACATAATATTATTCACGGTTGTTTCTGCTTAGGCAGTGTCCTGAGATTTTCTCTATTTTATCAAGGGCTACTCTGTTTTTGAGTGTGTTAGACGTCCACATTGCCCAGGCACAGTCCGCTGGTTTCTTCAAGTGCCAGGTTCTTGTATGTACACAATGAAAGTAATAATGGTCCGTGTCGCCTTCCTCTCCGCATTCGTAGAAAGGAGTATCCCTAAGTTTAAATCTGTTCAGGTAAACTGGGAATGGTACATGACCTGTCAAGAACTGTGTTGGGCTAGCACAGTGGGTTTTTATTTTCATGTTAACTTTTGGCAGTAATCGAAATGTCTTTAGTCCTACCTCTGCCTCTGTCCATCTACTTTGCCAATTTTGTAGCAGACTTGTCAAAATTGTTCGCTTAATATGAGACCAAGGAAGTTTAGTTGGTCTTTCTAATATATCCGTGCAGTTGGCTGCCTGCTTGGCCAGTTGGTCAGCGGCTTCATTGCCTTGAATCCCTGTGTGAGCGGGAACTCATTTTAATAACCAATGCATATTTCACAAAGAACCACATGAAGTGAGTCTTTGTGAAATAGGCATTGTCAGAAGCTGTTTCTGAATTTGGTATACCAAAGGACTCAGGCTGTTTTGACTTGCCATAGCCGCCAGACTTGATGCCGAATCACTGAGTATGGAGAATTTATCCTGTTGACATGTGTTCGCATATCTAATTGCGGCACTGATAGCTAGAAGCTCTGCTTGGTATACCGAGTTGTTCAAGACTAGTTTCCTTTTCCACTCGAATGTTACAACTTCATTTTCCAGTCTACAGAAGGGGCTTCCCGTGCCGTTCTCAGTTTTGGAGCCATCTGTGAAAAGGTTATTACTGTTCCTCTGAATTGGTTGGTCGTTTATGCTGATACCGTCGGAGAGATTAAAAGCTGCTGGATGAACGTTATTGCAGTTGTTTTGCTCCTCGTAGTCCGAGTGGTGGTAACTATGACCCCAGAGTGTTGAAGTTTGACCCAGCCTGGTAACCCTTACGATAGCTGCCTCCCTTTCTACTATCAAATCTTTCATGAGAAAAACTCACGTTTCATAGAAGAACTCACGTAGCAAATACTTTCATACTTATTTTCTGTATGAATTGTTGCTTATCTGGCTTTTGGCACACATACGTACAAAATCACGCCAAAAGCATATTGAAATGAAATAATAAGCACATGAGTATAAAATTCATTAACAAAGGAAATCAGCGAAAATAATTGAAAATCGTGATCAGTGTAATCATAAAAATAATTTCGCCATCAGTTGGCCCATCAGTCGGCAATCATGCAAAGTAAGTTCATAAAATGGAAATCAGTGAGAGATGTCATGTGTCACCATGTGTCACCTGACGTGGTACACCCAATCCAGAGAAAAGTTATCATGAAAGATTTTGCAGAAGAAGCAATCGATTTGATCACTTCAGAAAGCTTCATTTTTTTTTCTTGTTTCAGGTTTGTTCTTCCAAGCAGAACTGGAAGAACTGTCTAGCGATGCGCCATGAAGAGTTGTCTAACAATGCACTATGAATCTAGATAAATTCTCCTCTGAAAGAAGTTGATTTTTAAGCTTTTCAGCTTGAATATTTTTATGTTCTTTTTCGGATAATTATTTGAAAGATGTTATTTAGAACAGAGAGTCCATCTGGAAGCTTGTTTGATATCGCTCTTGTTTGGACAGTTAATTGTTTCATGATTTTCTGCTCACAGAAATATTAGTTGTTACTAGATTGAGTGTGCAGATTGTAGTCATTCACCAAACTTTATTTTCCTATTTTGATTTATTAACACAATTACGTACATATAACATCTACTAAATTCTGCCCCCTCTACCGGCGTCTTTTAAGTAATACTATATATAGACAAAATATAGCACAAGGCAGGGAATTTTGTTGTAATTAGCTATACTGTGAATATTCGTAAAGCTGTCTCTTACAGCTTAGTAAAGACTTACAGCTTAGTGTCTCTTACAGCTCAGTTATTCGTAAAGCTGTCTCTTACACTTTGAAGATTTCTTTCGCTTCTTCTGTTTGATGAAGTTTAGGCACGAAAACTGGAATATTTACACTTTCTTGTCCAAGCAGACGTGTGAACTTCTTAAAGATAATGACTGAAAAGCCAAGTTCTTTCAGTTCGCATGCGACGTAGTTTGGATTCGTATCATTTGGTAATGATTAGTATCATTCTGGAAATATTTCTTGATGACTGCTTTAGCATTTTGTTCGTCCCTGAGTGTGTAAGTATAAAACGGTACTTTCCCGTTTTGGAATTTTAGAAGTTACCTTGCAGAAGACCCTTCGATTACAACGGAATCTGACTTTAGATCTCTTTCTATGTTGTTGATTCTTAATTCAGTTATTTTTCTCACATAAAACAGCCCAGCTGGTATTTTGCTTCGATATAATAATTTATGAAATTTTACCTTCGGTTACTTTAATACTGACGTTGTTGTAGTGAGACTGACAGAAGAAATGAATGCAGCAAAATTTGTTAAATGAATATATTTCGACATTATCCTCAAGGAAACTGTATTTAATTGACTGTCAGAGTCAGAGCTTGGGCATTTAAAAATTATTTTAGTGATCCATTTATGGAACTCCCATTTGCCTCCGCCTTGAGTACCATTTTTGTTTAGCCAAGACCTAGTTGTCTTATTCAGATTTTGCAGCTATCGTGAATTGCAGCTATCGTATCCTTCGAAACGTTTTCAAAAGCACTAGAGAAACACTTTTTTCATCGTATTTGCGAAACTCATTGTGATACCATTTAAATTTTACAAAATTCGCGATGATACCAGAATGAGTTTTTAGAATCGCGTTGAATGCAAATGAATTAGAAGAAGTATTTAAGGAAGGTTCAACTAACTTCGATAGAGAGAGCTAAGAGTCCTTAGTAGCGCGTGTTTGCCTTCTGGCTAAGTCAATCTTGAAGCTCTAACGCTCGGCGGCATATTACGTGCCTTATTCGCCGGCTAGTTTAAGTTAAAGGCCAACTGCGTTAGATAATTGTGTTTCGCTTCGGTAAGTCTCGTTTTAGTTAATTATAGTTTAGTTTCTTATTTCTTATTCTGAGTTAAAGCCCAAGTAGAGGCTTCCTGTAAGCCCGAGAAGGGGCCGATTCTTATTCTTGTTTGAGTGAATAAAAGGGTATTTTAAACCTTCTCGAGTCTACGTTTTAGTTGTTCTGAATTCAGCGATAAGTCACTACATAGTTCATCTTAGACAAAAGGAGTCAGGAACCCTACAAACGCTCTAAATGGATGACGATGGATTTTCTGAGGAGGTTCAGGGGAACACTAATGGGTTCTCTGACCTAAAGCATACTTAGTGTTGGAGAAGTACTATAGTAGCAAAGATTCAAAACAGACGAACTTAAAAAATATCAGTAATCGTCGTCACGCGAAAGTAGTCGGCCTGAAATTCAGTATCCAGAGGCACAAGCACCTTCACGCTCAAAGAAAGAAACACCTTGAAAAATATTGGATCATCTTACTTGCAAGACTGTCCAATATTCGACCAATACGGTAATTCGGTTACTTATCTAAAATCGATAATATTCCACGTCGCTTTTTTCATATGCTCACAGCGCCTGGTGAAATTCCAAGCAAAGGAGATAATGAGTTGTGGAGGGGAAAATATTAAGCTTCATTTGATTTTGTCAACAAGATTCTAGAAACCTTTTCTTCTTAAAGTAATACAGGTATTACATAAAGCAAACTTTCGCAATAAAAACTCTTCTCTTAAGCAACCGGTTTCCTTGATATCACATTCTTTACTCAACAGTTTTAACAACCGGAATGCTTTTGGAATTTGTAAACGAATATAAATCTCGCCGAAGGTCAGGCAATAAAAGCGTGCATACAAAACATCTCACTTTGTCTTATCATCAAAGTAACGACGTTTTATAACGTTGAAATTAAACACTCACACACACATGAAAAAAAACTTAAAAATGTAGGTTAATAGTGCATACAACGCACTTATTGCAAAGCAATAAATTAGATGTTTTTAATAAAATAAGGTATAAATATGTTTTTAAGTTTTCAATAGGTTAAATATTTTATTTTCTACATTGAACCAAATGCACTTGCATTCACATGCTTCTAGTTAAATCTTAAATCAGGAAAGTTTGGTGAGCTTATAATTTCTTTACAAGAAATGCATTCAGAAAATTCTTCTCTGCGGTAGTTTTCATAGGTATTTTTAACGTCATGTACTATCACCTTTAGAGAAATTCTTTGAGGACAATACGTTTTGACAATTATCGTTATAAATTTCAAATAGACGCTAAATATTCACAAGAATAAATAAATGATTAAATAATTATATATGTCGTTTAAGAATTAATTTTCTCTTTTAAGGAAATGAAAATCGAAAATCCCTTAATTTTTACAAAATCAGAAGTATAGTTTAATTTTTAAATATAAGAAATATTAACTAAAGTTATTAAGTTAAGGAATATTAATGAAAGTATTTAAAACAGGAGTTCCGCAGCTTGGAAAAGACATAAAATACTTTCTCATTTTAATGAAATTCAAGATCATAAACGAGGCAAATGAAGATTCTATTTTATATTGTTAAAATTATAGACTTAGAGAAATACAAAATTACTTACCAAAAAATGTCCCAATTGCCATAAATATACTAAGAAATGCAGACTCGGGTGGAAAAGCAGCAGCATGACTGAAATATTAATTAAAGATATTAGGAAACACTGCGAAAAGCTCTAAAAGAAAATGAATACATAAAATGAACTGATACGCGACTAATAATTTTGCTATGCTAATGCAAATAAGAGAGGCACAAATTATAAATTTTTTATCGTTTATTTACTTATTTATCGAACTTGTAATTCTGTTTGGTATTTGTTTTTATTTCAGCTAATAGTTCAGTTTTGAACTCCTGTTAGTTCAAAAGGGATACTCCTGTTAGGAAGTTTTGAACTGCTGTTAGTTCATTCGCGCTTTTATGGATTGATAAACATTATTTCCCAATGAAATGCGTTGTCAAATCACTGACGAGTTAAAAAAGTGAAACTTCTTTAATGAATGAACCAAACCTTCTGCTATAATCGGTAAATTATAATTCACTTTAAAATGAAAAAGAAGGCCGTGCTCCTTGCTTATTGAGCTTTTGAAGGGTTAATGTATAAATAACTACTAGATCTCACGCTCCGCCAAATATAAATTGAGACAAAAGATTCTCCAAAAAAAATTTGGCGTGGAACTTATTTTTTCTGTTTATTGCAAGGTATATTTACATACAAAGCATTAAATTAAATACTTACTCAAACTACTATATAAAATTTCATCACAATTTTCTGGAGAAGCAGATCAGCTGTTGAAGCCAACTGAACAATATAAATTAAATCTCGATAGCCTACCTTTTTATCAGAAACAAGCATTTTTACAACACTCATTAAAAACCACTAAATTATAACAAATATCCAAAACATTTAGAATTCACTCACCTTGCACCATGAATCTGCAAATTGATAACAAATTGACTATATGGTCGACAGACGCAAAAGAAGGCTCAAAGTTTTAAAACACGATTCAAAAAAGAGACAATGCTCAAACACTGATGACACAACACATTTCATTCATTCATGTAGATTGGGATATGGTTTCCACGTCTATCGGGCTACATCATTAAGTACTTATACCAACTAAACTCAAGGCAAAATTAGCTTGAAAGCGCAGCATAAAGTACAAGCGATATTGTACTTTACCCCAATAGTATTTTATAGACATACTTTAAGAAAAATACTTAAGTATTAGAAATCAGGTAAGGATAATACATAGTAACAATGAACAAACCAGTGTTAAAGTTATTTAAATAATTTTACATAATTTTTGTATTAGCTCATATTTTAAAAAAAATCAATCAATAAACGGACTTTGATTGCTTCACTTGGCATCTAATTTGTGACAGCAATCATGTAAGAATCTTTTTTATTTCTTTTTTAATATTTCTACACGAAATCCAGTTATAATCTCTTGTCCCCTTTTGGAATTAAAACAGAGATCTAAAGAGCGGGAAATGTTTCGCACAAAGATAAACAAAAAAAGATTCATACTTTCACTCTCTTTACTTCATGCTTTCACGATGTAAGTTGTAGCATATTCGGTTAGACATGAAGTAATTAATTTCGCACGTTTCCTGCTTTCAGAAATTCTAAATAACTCTACAAGGGGCGATCACTAATTGAAATAAATGGCAAAAAATATCCAAATGCGACAGCGATTTCAAAGACAGTACCCGACATAAAGAAATACATTGTAAGCAAGTGGAAACTGATCTCTTCCGCTTTCTTGGTGTTCTGAAATTAGCTTTGCGCAGAGTATTAAAAAAAGGTGGATAGAAAAGCTTTATTTCTTCAAATGTTGACCCTAGACGTATGCTTCTAGCTACCCTGTAGAGCCTTTAGGATTTTTAAACCAGCAGACATGGAAAATGAGAAATGCTCTCGCCGGGACTTGAATCTGGTCCTCTCGAATACGCGCCGAGCGTTCTACTATTATACCACTAGAGCATGCAGAAAGGAGGCAAAAACCTTATATACTTTTTACAGATATACCTGTTGGCCCCTGTTATGGCCTGATGGCTTAACCTGTTTCGGTCTAGCGGACCAATGGCTTCACCCCTTGCAACAACAATAATAACCTTATATACTCCCCCTTTTAAAGGGCGACTGGGGATTAGGGAACCCAGTCACCAAAATCCTGGTGGTGAAGAATCATCATCCACCACCTTTTAGTTCGGGGGCCACTGTACAGACATTAGGATTTTTGAAGCTGGAGACAGAAAAAATGAGCAATGCCCTCGCCTGGACTCGAACATGGACCTCTCGAATACGAGCCAAGTGTGCTACCGTTACATTACAGAAAGGAGGGAGAAAATACCTTATAACCCTATTTTCAAAGTAAGGTTAAAAAACTAAAAAGTAATCGCAATAGCAAAGTATGGGAGAGATCTGTAAATATGAGATATAAATTTTTGCATGGCACTGGTGGATCAAAATTTTTATTAGCAAAATATACATTATATTCTAATATAAAAAGCTCCACATCATTTTATGTGGAGATTTCTCAAAAATCGAGAATGAATTTAATGACTTAGATCACATATCATTGCCTATCACAAAGCAAAACTGAATATTCTTGAGTACAGCATTGGAGTAAAAGAGCATACTGGTGCAAATTTATATGCAAACACTTGTGTTCGTTTGATTAAGTTTTCATCTGTTTCAGTGATGTTATAGATTGTTTTTATTTATTTGTTTGGTGCGTTTTATGAAATTATTTTAGTTTAATTGAATCTGTGACCATTCATTTTGTTTCTAAGTATATATCCCATGTATTATGCTGTATAATTTGCAATTCTAAATCCATCGAGTATTGAATTCTCAAGACAGCTTGATTCTAAACTGAGATATCGGTAGAAACCCTCCTGATGACCACTGACGGTGAAAGTCGACACTTGGCGCATTTCTCCTCATTGCCGACATTATGGAAGTTTCCGGAAAACATATTTTTCAAATCCAATTTGTCCCGAAGCTTTAAGAAACTTTGGGCAGCCCTATAAACATTTACGAGTAGATGAAGTAATCGTAAAAATGAAGATGAAAGTACTCAAGTCTGAACTCAAGACTTTATAAGTATGTAACTGAATAAGTAACCACCTATATACAATTGATGAACGAGCTGGAACATTCTAGACTTGGAACGCTCTATAAAAGGAAGAACATTCTCCAATAAATGAAAGATAAAGGAAATATATTAACAGGAAACAAAATTAAACAAAAAACCATGGAGGTAAGAAAGGAAGGAGTGGCTAAACCGGCACTAGAAGTGAAGCACTGCTTCGAAGCTTCGGTCACCAGATGGGGTGTTTTTTGTTTACATTCAGAAGCTCGCTTGACAGTGTTCTGATAGTATTTCGACACACGACAGTTCCATACAAATCAAAAAAGGGACACTTTCACATGAAAGAAACATTCATAGTGGGATGGATAATAGCAATTTGTATAGTTTAGTGGCATTTACGCAAAAATCACATCTTGGTTATTTTTCGATAACTAACAATAACGATTTTGATTATGAATTTGTTTTATAAAATACTAAGCTGTTGAGCTACGAAAATATAGATTTTAGCAAAAATGTTATGCTTAAAGAATGAAAAATACCTTACAGTACCTTTAAAATTGTATACACCTTTCGATACCCTTGATAGAGTATTCGCTACTTTTATTTTATGTTCCAAACGCCAAAATGTTTTAAATAAAATAATTTTTATTCACATCTGCATATTATTGTAACATGTAATTTTTAAAATTTTTAGAAGAGGTTTAGTGCTCATTTTCCATCATTATTTTATAATCTGTTTTTCATTTCTATTTTTATTAAAGATTTTAAAGTCTGAAATTCTCTTGTTGCGTGCGTACGGATTCGTTATGAAATGAATGCACAAGTCCGATGAAAAATGAACAAAAATTTATTATTATCACAACAAAAATGCTTAAATTTTCTCAAATTATCATGCAGTATTACAATATCTCACAGTAGTTATCTTTTAACTACTCAAATGTCCAATAGAACGTAATTCAAAACAGCTAAAGAACGCTAATCCGCGAATTCGCTACAATCAACAAGAGTAGTTTTCTAAACAACAACAAACTAAGCAACTACTACAAACTGAGATGTTTTCCTCCTTTTATAAGATTTTAAAATCACGCGCTAGAATTTTCCAGTACTTTCTCGAAATCAAAAAGAGATATTTATTTATTTAATGCACGCGCTCTTGTATTTTCAATTTTCCGGCTTAGCTTTCTTTTAATATTCGTCACGCGCTGCACTGCGCGAGAAATAAAACCATTTAATTTATAATTGAACTAACATTAGCTTTTTAAATACCAAATTCGTAACACTGCCCCCTTCCCAAGGACTGCACGTCCCGGGCAGTACAATCCCTGGACAGGAAGCTAAACTTACAACTGTGGCATAAATGCAACTGAGGCATAAACATTACATTACAATATCAAAACAACACATGAAACAATAAATGCAATAACTAACTTAAACAAATCAAATGCTATCAAATACAATACAAACAAATACTAAATACAAATCAAAACTAAATCAAATCAAATACTAAATACAATCAAATCAAATACACATTTAAAACAAAAAGGACCATGGTCTTATACTATTTACAATTATTTACATTACGTACTATGGCCATAGTAATGAGCTAACCTGTCGTAATGAACGACTTTAGGTTTAGAGTTCGAAGACTTACGAATCCGAACCACGACGTCATTCAGCCTGTTTAGGACTGTGTACGGGCCATCCCAAGGTGACTGTAATTTCGGACAAAGTCCTTTCCGTCGAGTCGGATTCCACAACCACACCTTGTCTCCTTCGTGGAATTGATGTTCAGTAGCTCTTGTGTCGTATCGGGTCTTCATCTTCTCCGTCGCCAAGTTGACTCGCTCTCGTGCAAAGTTGTGCATCACTTCAAACCGGGCCTGGAGATCTTGAATATATTCCTCAGACGAAGAAAGAGCATCCGGAGGGCGGCCAAACAATAGATCACAAGGCAGACGAAGGTCACGACCGAAGAGCATCTGTGATGGAGAATAGCCGGTAGTCTCGTGGACAGCACTGCGGTAAGCCAGTAAA